TTGAGGCTGAGTTGACCGAGGGGAGGCCCACAACCGGTTTAAATAATCGTCACCTGCTGTTGGTGGTCGTGAGCGGGAATCGAACTCGGTTCGCCGGGTTCGTAGAGTGCGCTAACCACTGCTCCAGCGCTCTACAAAGACAAAGCTCCCCCGTGTAGCCTGTAACAGACTGTTGGGGAAAGTGCTGTTAGCGAGTTGCACCTATGAAGACCGGAAACTGCACACGAGGCGTTGGGTTGGTCAGCACAACGCCCGGCCGCCTTTGTATCCCCACACACACATACAGGATTGTAAGTTGCACCCCCGACTTTTGCTTCACACTCGTGGGGGCCGGGCAGAGAGAGAGGAGGCGTCTGTCGTGTGTTGGGAGCGATGGTGCAGCGGTTAACGCTGCGCTACGAACCCGGTGACCCGAGTTCGAGTCCCGATCACGGCCACCAACACCAGGTGACGATTAACTGAACCGTTCCCGGGCCTCCCCAAGGTTGACTCAGCCTCAAATGAGCACCTGGTGCGGTGTGTAAACATCGCCACTGGGAAGACAAAGGCGGCTGGCCTTCAAAGGTGCTCGTTAACAGCAATTGCCCTCAACAGTCTGTTAAGGTAATACGGGAAGTCTGTGTCTTGTATCTCGTTTGACCCCAGGCTGAGTGGACGCGACTCGCTGTGATGCGTAAACCTCCGCCCTCCAGTGGCCACATTGGTTAATTTCACTGCACCTGCTGAATCATTATCAGAATGAAACTAAAACTAGACTATTGTTTTTACGTTGCCAGGTAAGGCCCGCTGAGCTACATAGCTCTTTTTCAGAAGCGACCTGGCCATAGTTGATAGCTCAACGAAATGGCTTATTATGTGGACATTTATAGCAACCAAATACTCTAAACGCATGTTTATAAATGTGAAGGGGAGAACCCGGAGAAGAAAAACGACGCGACCCTGGGGAGAGAGACATGCAAACATCAAATATACAGAAGGTGTTAGCGTCGGGATCGAATCCACGACCTCCTGCACACCAGGCGAGGTAGTTAATATCTCGCCACCGGGGCACCCAAAATAGGCGGATATAAGGGTCCATGGGGGGGTCCAGAATATTTTAACCGGTTCTGGGCACCCCCTAGGTCGACTCAGCCTCAAATGAGTACCTGGTTCCCTGTGTAAACACCAGCATTTGGCAGACAAAGACGGCCGGACGAGGTGCTGGCAACCCACCCATCAGAATAATCGGCTATGATCTATCCACTGCTGGATGGTGGACTCCTCCAAATCCGTCGTCACCTGTCACGAACTGGTGCCGCAACAATCCATGTCATCTCCAGCGCGTGAGCTGATGTCGTCGCTCCATCTCCGCGCTGGATTTCCTCCCCGCGGGCGCGTTCACACCCTTTTGGTGTCTCTCCGTCGTTAGTCTCGACCACTGGTCGTCGTCTCTTCTCGTGACGAGTCCTGTGTGGCTGGCTTCACTGGCGAGAGGAGCGGTGGTGCAGTGGTTAACGTGCTGTGTTATGAACGGAGTTTGATTTATGGCCACGGTTAACAGTGGAAAGTAATACTAGAACCGATCCTGCCCACTTCTCCTTCCCCCCCCCACCCCGCTCACCTTCACCAACACTGAACACCGTGGGGGAAGTAAAATCAACCATCGCCAACATGGCGTGGGGGAGGTCTTCATCCAGCAGGGGACTGACAAAGGCGCTGTAAACTATACATTATTTTTATTTAATTATTGCAGTACTCAAAGACTGTCTACATAGTAACTGAGCCAATGCATTTTCAACCCAGCTTGTCTTCAATTTCTATCCTTGTGATGAGGCCAATGGGTCTGTCGTTCTTCAAGTCAAGTTTATATATATCAACGTTGAAGCGAGCAGTGGGTGGGGAACATTTTCCTTACTGAGGACCGAATAGGAGTTTTTGCGGGCCAATACAAAACCCCTACATGAACTTAACAGACTGTTGGGGCAAGTGCTGTTCCCTAGCACCTATGAAGACAAATACGGCATATGAGGGGGTGGGTGGCCAAAACTTCACCCGGCCGCCTCTGTGTCTCCCCAGTGCTGATATTTACACACCGCACCGGGTAACTCATTCGAAGGCTGAGTCGACCTAGGAGATGCCCAGGACCGCTTCAAATATCCGCACTGTTATTGGTCGCGAGTAATCATATAAATTAATACAGCAGTCACTTTTAATAAAATAAACATTTAACAAATTACTTTCTGATCTGGATTCAAAACTGAATTTTGAAGATCACATTGATTATATTGGAAAAAAGACAAAAATAAAAATTGGTTTTCTGTATCGACACAAGCACTGCTTCCCCCCAATGTTCCGTTTGGAATTGATAAAAGCTACCATTCTGCCTCTACTTGACTACTGTGACATCATATTCTTAGTTTTTTCGGTAAAGTCACGTTGAAGAGAAACAACAAAATAACAAAATCTATATAAAACAATAAAAAATTCTCACGACGTTTCGACCATAACTCAAACGGTCATCATCAGGTGTGTTGGTTTGCATAAATTTATTTTTAAACGGCACATTTATTTATTTATAAAAACGTTGGCGTCACGCGCAGCGATTTGGCAGTTTGCCCAGGACTAGTGCATCTATTTTTTTTTTTAAAGAGGAGGGGGGAGACGAAATTTTTTATAATGTATGCTGTCTGAAAGCCACTGTAAGCGTGAACAATCAATTAAGAACTGAAATGGTTTATCAAATCTTTCCAATGATTGCTAAGATAGAATCCATCTTCTCGGTTGAAATTGTCTCTTTGCCGTTTAAAAATAAATTTATGCAAACCAACACACCTGATGATGACCGTTTGAGTTATGGTCGAAACGTCGTGAGAATTTTTTATTGTTTTATATAGATTTTGTTATTTTGTTGTTTCTCTTCAACGTGACTTTACCGAAAAAACTAAGAATATGAATTACTGCAGTCACGAAAGCTTTAAATCAAAATTTATTGTGACATCGTGTATAAATCAGCCCCAAGCACTGTACTGAAGAAGCTTGATTCCATCTATCACTCGGCCTTAAGATTTACATTGAACTGCCCATATAGGACTCACCACTGTGATCTCTACATTGGGTCAAACTTAACATATCTTAATGTTCGACGGCTTGTGCACCAGATCTATACAAAAACTCGAGGAAGGGCCTTTGCTATTGATGCCCCCAGAGTCTGGAATGCTATTGCCAATAAACTGCAACTTGAATCTCTACCAATGAGATCTTCTCTCAAAACTGCTCTAGAGGAGTTGTACACCCCTAGCTGCCACTGTTATTCATTGGCGTAAAATAAAATAAAATGTTTCGCTCCGGATGACGCTGCCAAGTATTATGTATTTTGATTTAGCGTGCTGATCTTAAAGGTGCATTGAAAAATTTGATACTCCGACCGATGCTTCTGTTGTTGTGGAGTAACTAATGCAGCCAGCTATGTTTCTAGGGTTTGGTGTTACATGTTATTTATGTAGTTTATTGTAAAAATTCGGTTACAGCCCTTGTGATCACTGTTACGTTGCAATTATAGCTTTATTTTTTGGTGATTAGGAAAACGTTTTTTGGCTTGGACATGTTTGTTTTGTTGCAGTACGGAGTTAGACTGATGGCCTTAATCTAAGTTTTTGTGGTTATTGTTGTTTGACTTGCATCCCACTGGGATTTTTTGCACACAGCGTTGGTGTACGGTGCTTTTTTTTTCAAGGATTTTCTGTTTGCACAGTCACATAGTCACTTTAAGATGTTTTTCTTGTTCGTGTTTTTGTTTTTTTGTTTGTTGTGGTTGCACCCGCTTCAAGAGCCGGATGGCTCACAGGGCTATACCAAAATAAACTGAAATATAGAATTATTGTAAAATGGTTAAACCATTACAGTATTATGATTTAAGCCTTAAGACAAATAATTAATGATTTGCCTCAAAACTTTAATTACAGCATATTTCCCTATCGATTTTATTGTAATCATATACAAACATGCAAAAGAGTTTTTTTTTATCGTGTAAGCTACGGAACTATGTTATTGTGAGTGTTTAAATATACATATCACATATTTAACATGCTTTTATAGACTTTAACAGCTATAAATGCTATATTTATTTCAAAAATATTTTTTATACAGAATTCTTACCAATCATATCGACTTTTGATTCTAGTCATAATTCCGCGTTTTGAGAATTACCTCAACTATATAACTGTTACTATGAATGTTGACATTAGCAACTTTAATCTGTAATGTTATTAAAGATTTACCTCAGAACGCTTGCAGACGCGTTAAACCCTTAATCAAATAACTCTTATGCGTACAAGTGGTGACCGTATCCCACTGCTACTTAACTCCAAGTATAATACATTAAACCAACCCAGTGACCCTTTATTTCACGTACCTGCACGCAAAAAGCGACACTTTGATTTCAGCCCTTTCCACTGGGGCGGAGACGGAGAGACGGAACGAGTTTGACGTGCAAGAGACGGACGCACGCTGGGAGCGAGGGACCGTGAGCGACGACCGGTGGAAGATGCCTTCATCCAGCAGTGGAGAGACAATGGCAGAAGCCGACTGTGACGCGCGACACTCTTCTCCCTGTTGAGCGACGCGGCGTCTCTCGTTCCTCGTCTCTACTCTCAGCAGACACCGACACAGAGGCCGCGAGGCCTTCCCGCGTGCCTACACGCCGCCCACGGGCACGTGGTTATTTTACCTCAGCTGAACAAATATTTGAGGCAAACATTAATTTGTGACGAAGAAACGACAACAATCCGACGAGTGGC